AATTCACCAACTGCTCCTCTAAAACCCTCTTACAGGGTTGTTATGAGTTGAATCGACTTATGACACTTAACAGTAACAGTGTGATGACTTGAACTGCAGTTGCCTTGGCTCAGGTCTAGGCCAAATTATTTTGAAGGCCTTATACGGTTCATGGGCCACATGTTCCCCAACCCTGCTGTATAGGGTTTCTAAGGCTGTAAATCATTATGGGACTAGAAAATTCCAACTGCTGACTTAGTAGTGCACCTAAAATTGTAATTGTGTAGGGCTTGAGGAACAAGTCTGGGTCCCAGTATCGGTGTTCAGTACAGGATCCTCCTCTTCCACTGCTTTATAATGCCATTCTTATCATAAGTCTTATATCCATATGTGAATGAATGTGTTTCTGTATACTATTCCATTGAGCTACATTTTTTTTTGTTCTTTTGTCAGTATCACATTGTCTTAATTACTGTAAATTTAGAATTACTGTAGCTCCTAATGTCTGATAGTGTAAACCCCCCCCATATTTGTTCTTCAGATTTTTCTGTAAATTCTAGAATTACCTGGTACAGGCATACCTCAGAGATATTTTGGGTTTGTTTCCAGATCACTGCAATAAAGCAAGTCAAATGAATTTTTTTGTTTCACAGTGCATATAAGAGATATGTTTATACTAGACTATATATAGTATAGGAGCTCTGGTAGCGTAGTGGTTATGAATCAGGCTATGCACCTCAGGGTCAGCAGTTTTGAAACTACCAGCTGTTCCGCAGGAGAAAGATGAGGCTTTCTGCTCCCATAAACATTTACAGCCTCGCAAACCCTATAAAGGGTCGCTATGAGTCAGAACCGACTCCGTGGCACATTACAACAACAACGTAGCATAAAAGGAGTCCTGGTGTGGCGCTGTGGGTTAATGCGCCCGACTGCAAAGCTGTTTGAACTGCAGGGTTCAAGCTCACCAGTCACTCCTCGGAAACCCTATACAGAGTCGCTGTGGATTGGAACCGACTTCATGGCATTTAACAACAAAAACATAGTAGAAAAGTGTGCAATAGCATTATGAAAATGTTCAAGATACTATGAAAATGATCAGAATGAGGCACAAACAAAAATGAGCACATGCTGTTGAAAAAATGGCACCCATAGACTTGTTTGATGCAGGGTTGCCATAAATCTTCAGTTTGTAAAAGAAGCAATATCTGCAAAGTGCAGTAAAACGGAATACAATAAAACAAAGTATACCTGTATGTAATAGCCATTTTAAAAATCTCTGATCAAGATTGTATTGAATCTGTAGATAATTTGGGAAGAATCAGCATCTTAACAAAATTCAGTCTTCCAATTCATGAGCATCTCTGTTTAGTTTTTAATTTCTGCCAATAGTGTTTTAGAATTTTCTGTGTAGAAATATATATGTTTGTATGCATTTACTAGGTTAAGTCAGAATATATTGCTACAAAATTATAGAGACCTTTATTAAACAAAAACATCAAAATGGGAAGCTATTGTTTCACAACATGCTCTCCATCTGAGTAGCACCAGTAGGAAAGTGTTTCCATATCTCCAATCCTTCCCTGCAGAATTCTTTGCTCTTCCATTTATAGCATATCAGAATAACAGTTTTGGCATCCATGAGGACTCAAATTATGTTCTTTTTCAATATTCCTTGAGATTTAGGAATAAAATGAAGTCTGAAGGGGTAAGATGAGTGCTGGAAAGTGGATGGGGTAAAGTTTCCAATGAAATTCTAGTTAGGACAGTTCTTGCTACCCTGGAAGAATGAGCAGGGGCATTGTCATGATGGAAACAGAAAATCTCAGCATACCTTTTCTGACTTTTTTTAAAAATGCAGTTTTCTGTTTTCTTAAAACTTTTTCATAATAAGTTCCAGTAGTCATCCTGTGCCCTTTGAGAAAAATCTATCAAGCTAAGACCCCATTTTTGTTAAGTTGCTATGGAGTTGGTTCCATTTCATAGCAGAAAGCTTCATCTTTCTCCTGAAGAGCAATTCGGGCGCTCAAACCACCTTGTGGTTCGCAGTCCAATGCTTATCCTACAGTGCCACTGGGCTTTGACTCTATCATTTTACTGGCTCAGCACATCTTTTCAGAAGTCACTGTTTTGATTAAACCTTTTTTGAAGGTACCTTAATGAGGCTAAGACAAATGTCTTTCTGAGGGAATTTAGTCTCTAGCCGCCATCCATTGATTGCAGAGATGTATAAGCATATTTTGTTTGGAGTAAACTCATGCACATATGAACTGGAACCCTAGTAACAATACTTCTTGAGTTACCCTCATATTCCTTGGCACTTGATGGTTTTCAGTGCTGCTCTAAATAATCCTTTTCAAAATGTCATTTTTGAAATACTAAAATTTTTAATGTCAGTTTGTAGTTGTTTCTTACCCAAATTTTATGTCTTAACCCCTGGTATCTGTGACTGTGACCTTGTTTGGAAATAGGGTCCTTGGAGATGCTATCGGTTAATATGAGGTCATATTGGAGTAGAATGGGTCCTAATTCTATTTGACCAGTCTGAGTAGCTTCCTTGAAAAGAGAAGAGACTCAGAGAAATAGAGCAAACCAAGAAACACCTAGGCTGAAAGAGGCCAGAAAGGAACTTCCTCTGAAAGAACATGGCCCTGCCAGCACCCTGGATTTGAGCTAGTAACCTCCAGAAGAACTGTGAAGATACATTTCTGTTTAAAGTATTTACGTATAACCCAGTTGTGGTACTTAGTTAACAGCAGCCATTTACTTATTCCAGTGATTTCTCTGTGTATAGTTCTTCACAGGCATAAAAACATAATTGTATCTTCCTGTATTTACTCCACATTTTTGTTTTATTGTTCATTGATAATCCTTCTGGAATTGATTTTTTTTTATATGATGTGTGTGAAGAGTGGGTCAAGATTCATTTTTTTACCTTATGTGGACACCCACTTGATTCAGTAGCATTTATTGAAAAGACATTTAGAATTCTATTGCATTGCAGTGACACCTTCATTTTCATGTGGGTGACCAAATATATGTGGGTCTATTTCTGAACCCTCTGTTCTACTTTTCCATCTGTCTTTGCATTGCTCCTATAATCTTGTCAACAGCAAATAATGCTTTGTTTCTTCCTTTAAACCTGCTTTTTTTTGTTTTGTTTTGTTTTTTTTATTGCCCTACTGCACTTGCTCCTTGGAAACCCTACTATGTAGGGTTGCTGTGAGTTGGAACCAATTCGACAGCATTTAACGACAGTTGCACTTGCTACAAGCTCTGGTACCATGAGGTACACTGTGAGGTAGGAGGTTTGCTCCAGGGCTTCTGGGATGCCTTCAATCAGATAAAGAAAGTTCCATTTTAATAATAATTTGCTAAGAGTCTTTCATCATGAATAAGGTGTTGAATTTTATCTAATGCTAGTTTTTCTTATCTTGATAGATCCATATGTGTGGCTTTCCTTCTTTATTCCAGTAATGTAATTTGCATTGATTTGATTATGAATTTTATGCCTTTGTTCTTGAGATGTTATAGCCTATCTTGTAATGTTCTTATCAGATCTTAGTATCAAAGTTGTGCCTGTCTCATAAAATGATTTGAAAAATAACATTTCCTCTGTTTCTATTCTCTGAAAGAGTTTTTGTAATATTAGTTACATTTCTTCCTCATATATTTGGAAGACTTCACTAGGGAAACTTCCTTGACTTGAAGTGTTTTTTGTGTTAATTATTGATTTAATTTCTTTATTTCAAAGGGAACTATTCAGATTTTTAAAGTTCCTTTTTGTGTTAAGTCTTGTCTCAAGGAGTTCTCCATTTCATCTAGAATAACAAATTTCCTATTAATTGGTATAAAGTTATTCATAATATTTTTAATTTGTCTGTAAGATCTGTAGTGGTGATGTGCCGTGGAGTCGGTTCCGACTCATAGCAACCCTGTACAGGGTTTCTGAGGCTATAAATCTTTATGCAGGGTTGTTAGGAGTTGGAACCAACTCAATGGCACTTAAAAACAACAATGTATTAAAAGGACTTAGGGTGTGGCACTATAGAATCAGCACTGGACTATGAGTCACAGGGTCGGCAGTTCAAACCCACTACGCTACTCCTCAGAAATCTTATACCAGGTCACTATGAATCAGAACTGTATTGAGGGCATTTAACAACAACAACATCTCTTAAGTTTCTGTGTAAATGGAGTGCTTATTTTCACTTAACATTGTTAATTGTCCATATTGATAGAATTGCATTGCTTCATTGCATGAATTTTACTTATCTTTTCCTTTGTTGTTGTTGTTAAGTGCTGTCGAGTCAATTCCGACCCATAGCAAACCCTGTATTGGGTTTCCAAGGAGCAGTCAAAAAAATCCTTTTTAGTTACAGGTTTTGCCACAATGAACAGCCTTGTCCATATCTTCTATTACGCATGTCTACTGGCACCTGTGTACATTTGTTTAGCTAATATGTTTAAAAATGGAATTGTTTGGGCACAAGAAATTTACATCTTCAACTGAGTATGGCCCGTTTTGCCCCAAATTACCTGTTCAGGATACTTTCCAAGTGTGTAAGATTTTCCGTTTCTCACATACTTGTCTTATTTCCTAGCCCCAGTGGTTTCACACATAGCTCATTTTCTGATTTACTTTTTTCTGATGACTAGGGAGGTGGAGCATCTTTTCATGTTTATTGACCATTTGGGTTTTCTTTGATGTGAGTTGTCTTCTAACAATTTTTGTTGTTGTGGTTGTTGTTATACTTTCTGAATTTGAATATATTCTTTACCAGTTCTTTGTCCCTTTAAGTATATTTTTTAAAATATTGTTTCATTTTTATGTGTTTTTAGTTTGTATTTTATTTGAGAGTTATTTCAGCAGAATTTTAAAATGCTTCCTCAACCAAACATATGGGAAGTTTTGATATTTACTCATCCTAAATACACCTTTTTATTCTTTTTCAGAACTTTTGGAACAGTTGGTCACCATGTTTAAATACTAGCAGATCCATAGATATATTCTGCATTTGAAAATGGCAGAAGGCGACAACAGCGAAGAGGTAATTCACTTGAACAACTTTCACTGCCACCGGGGCCAAGGTGAGTCATTTGCTTGGCTCTTGCTTTCTCCCTTTCCTTATTGCATTTTCTCTTAGTATTACGGTGAGATCTCATTTGAAATGAACATATCGTGAACCATTTAGAATCCTGAGATAATTCCATTTTAGATTTCAGAACATTGGACTTAAAATTTGTCAGACTAGAAAATGTGGCCTATGACTGGCCGTACCACTTCTCTTCTGACCTAGAAAGCTAAGCAAGGTTGGTCAGACTTGGTTAGTACTTGGATTGTTGTTGAGTGCTTTGGAGTTGGTTACGACTCATAGTGACTCGAGATGGGGTTGCCAATGAGTGGTTGTGATTTTGAACCATCGATCTTTCATTTCAAACTGACGTTGCGGTCCAGTGCTTATCCTACAGTGCCATACCAGGACTCTAGTGCTTGGATTGTTGTTAAGTGCCTTTGAGTCAGTTCCGACTTAAAACGACCCTGTGTAGGGTTTCCAAGGAGCTGCTGATGGTTTGAACCTACCAACCTTATGGTTTGCAATCCAGTGCTGATCCTACACCACCACACCGGAGTCCCCACTACTTGGATAGGAGAATAGAATATGTGTCAAATGATGGTCAAATTACTGACACAAATGAAGTTTAAGAATCACCCATCATAAGTAGATTGATTAAATTGTAAACTGTTGAGTGACATTTAGTTGATTCTGACCCTTAGCGACCCTGTATATGGTTTCTAAGGAGCAGCTGGTGAGCTTGAACTGCAAACCTTGTGGTTTAGCCTGCTTTGCAGTTTAGTGCATTAACCCATAGCATCTATTAGCCAATGTAAATAAGCTATGAGTACACAGTCATTGAATTTGAAGACCTGGGGCTATGGCTACAGTGGCAGTTCTCTGAGTGTGAAGGAATGGTGGCTGCAAAGAAGCTGTGGGCTTGACTTAAAACTGCTAAAGGTGTGACTGAAGCCTGCTTAATCTTATAGCAGATTTATGCTGCGTTAGCTGCATGAGGAATGTTAGGAAATATATTTGTGTTTTATAGCTAACAGTTTTATAGCTAAAATTTTGGGAAATTTATTGATTCATGAAAGAAGGGGTACCTACAGTTCTATAAAATTCCGGATGTATATGAAATTTTTTGTCAAATCCTAATTCCCATTTCAGCTTGTCTGAAGGAAAAATATGCTGCTGAATAGGAAAGAAACCTTAATTATTCAGGTTTTGCAAGTATAAATTTCATGGAAGAGGTTGTACTAGTTTTTCTAATTTATAATATTTTGTGCTTTACCAAAATGATTTTTTTTTCCATCCAAGGGTAAATTATTGCTGTTAGTGCATTTAAAGTTGAACACATTTTATTAAATAAATTGAGCAAAATAAATAAAATTATTCAGTCTATGCAAATTATGAATGTAAAAGAAATAATTATTTTTAGAATTTCAACGATAGCTATAACTTGGTAGTGATTGTGGCTGTAATTTATAGTGATTCAGAAAGTTTTAAATCTTATTTATAACTTGTATATATGATTATTTCCAAAATTTCTAAATGTATGTATCAAATTGTTATGGTTGTTGTTGCTCCTTAATTGAGTCTTAAATATACTCGAACAATTTTTCTTTAAGAATAGCCCATTCCTTTTGTCATGTTACTGACTCTGTAGGTATATATTCTCTTAGACAAATTATGTGTACTTTGTATCCATCACAATTTTTTTTTCTGGAATAGAATATTGTTTTTATTAGCAGTGTTAATTTTTATTAAACAACCTGGTAGGTTCATTTTTTAAATCATCTTTATTATAGTACATTTACATACAGTGAGATGAACATTTTAAGTGTATAGTTCATTGACTTTTGACAAATGAATGCCACCTTGTATAACCACTACTTCAATCAAGATATTGATCCTCTCCTGCCCTCTGGAACCATTGACCTGTTTTGGTTTTGTTTTGTTTTGGTCCATAGACTTTCATATAAGTGGAACCATAAAGTATATATACATTTTTATTTATTTATTTATTTTCAGTTCTTCCATGCTGTTAGATAGATTAGTAATCAGTTCATTTTTAATTGTTGAGTAATAGCCAGCCTACCTATAGAATCCCATACCCAGTGAAAATAGTTTTCAAAAATGTAGGTAAAATAAAGAAAGACTGATGGTACTCCAGAGTTAGAAAAGATACAGCATGCAGATCATAGCTACAATACAAGGCAGGCATCCCTCTACAACAGTAGATAACATAGACACTCCAGTAAGGAATAATGTGAGAAAGAATTTATAATGATAAAAATTTCAGTGTAATAGGAAGATAATAAAAATCCTAAATCTCTTTAAACTTATTAATATCATGTCAAAATGTACAAAGCAAAAATTGAAAAAATTATAATAGTGGAATAGGAATTTTAGCGTATTTCTTCCCATAACTAAAAGGGCAAACAACATATAAACATTTGTATGCATATCAAAATTTAGAAGACCACGATCAAATTTGACATAAAGATATGCATGGAATACTACACCCATTTGTTGTATTTATCAAAATTGACTGTATTTTGAGCCAGAAAATAAGTTTTCACATTCTCTTATCTCTGTGCCTGGCGTATTCGTCTAGAGCCTTTCTGCCTCATTATCTCTTTAGAATGAACCTTCAGGAGGTAGGACTTCCAGAATGGCTGAGTGAGGAGCTTGACATATCCTCTCCCTAAAAAGCAGTGATAAAGCTAGACATAATTGTCAAACCACTTAAGGACTGGAAATTGACCAAAGGCATACAAGAATTGAGAAGGATTTATTCAAGAAAATCTTCTGAATCTGGGTAAGAACAGTGAAAGTCTGGTCATTTCACCTGGGGCCACTCCCATTTCCTCTTCCTCTTACCCTCTTCAGGTTCTTTTGTTTTTGGTAGTAAGAAGTTCAGCCTGGATGAGTTGGGCAGCCCCAACACTGGTGGTAAAAAGGGGTTGACACTATTTGGACCATCATGTGGAAAATCCCATGTCCAAAAGCCATGTCAAGAACAATACAATACCAGTCTCAGTGACAATCAGGGAAAATTAATATTTTAACTGATGTCTGATTAGTGCAAGCAAAAGATTTCATCTAGAACTTTAGCAGGGGCTTCCAGGGCATGAGGTAGTCAAAGAGCACCTTGATAAACTTCTACTGCCCTTGATTGTTGGTGAACACAAGACAGTACATGTGTGCAGGCGGGCTAAGTGGGCTCTAGAAAGTTGTTCATCTCTGGCAGAACATGAGGCTTTGTTAAAGCAGAAAGTAAAAAGCAGGACAGGCTTAGAACATGACTGAACTTTGAATCCTTTCACCAAGCCACACAGATCCATTGGCAAAAGATGGAAGCCTTATTTACTCAAGAATATCTGATCAATCATGTGACTCCTAGGAATCAAGAATTAAGAATCAAAAACTGAGTAGAGATATCAATAGCGATGAGTTCGAACTGTTGACCTGTGGTTAGTAGCCCAACCCATAACCCACTACACTACTGGGACTCCTATGATCACATACACTGAAGGAGAAAACCACTCAATAGAAATTGTTTCTGTGGAGACTCAAATGTTGAACTAAATGGAGACTTCAAAGCATCTATTGTAAATATATTGAAAGAACCAAACCCAAAACTCAATGGTTCTGTGTTACAGAACAGAAATGCTCTATAGTGTTTTTTGGTTGGAAAATTGGGGTGGGGGTGGGGCGGGGGCAGCTCACCAGGTCTTTTTTTTGCCAACCTTTAGGTTAAAAGTTGAGTGCAAATTGTGTGCTCTACCCATAGATCTGAAAGAACTAAAGAAAACCACATTCAAGAATTAAAGATAATGATAGACTCATGAAATAGTGACTATCAATAAAGACACAGAAAATAAGAAGAATCAAATGGAGATTTTAGAGTTAAAAAGTAAAAAAACTGAATGGAAAACCAGTTTACTCTGTTAGCTTTCACCCAAATCACAGTAAAAAGTTAAAGACAAAAAAGGGACAATAATTACATGAAAAATTCCTGAGATGACTCAGCCTGGCGAAAGAATCAGTCAACTGAAATGAATCAGTAGAGATTATCCTGTCTGTAGAACACACACACACAAAAGAATGGGGGAATGGGCAGGGAGAGCCAAGGATACCAACATACAGAAAATGGGAGTCTAAGAAGTAAAGAGAGAAGTTATTGTTGTTAAGTGCTGTTGAGTTGTTCTGACTCATAGTGTGAGCCTATATAGAGGTTTCCAAAGAGCAGCTGGTGAATTTGAACTGCTGACCTGTGGTTCACAGTCCAGTGCTCATCCTACAGCGCCATACCAGATGTCAGAGAAGGGAGCAGTCAAATATTTGAAGAAGCAGTGGCTGAAAATGTCCCAGATTTGATGAATATGTTAATCTACACTTTTGAGACACTCCTCAGACTCCAAGAAGGATTAAATACAAAACAACCTACACCTAGACACATTTGGTCTCTTGTTTACTGGAGTAGAGGAAGAAATATGAGAACCTCATCATTCATTATCTAGACTTGAAAATACTTCTCATCTCTGCTTTAAGAAGTGCTGTATGTCACCCATTTCTAGAATTCTGCAGCATACATACATTGAACTTCTGGGTGACTGTCGCCCTGCAGGCTGTGGATTTCCCCATCTCTACTTTGCTGAGTCGCTTAATGCCTGCAGAGCTATTTTCCAAAACTTTGTTGAATTATTTCACCTGCTACCATTACCTTCTTTTTGTATGTTGTGCTTGCAGGTTTATGTTTATACTCTTTTCAAAGTTCCATTTTCTGACATTAAAATGGAGTTTCAGGAGATCTCAGTGCTGATCATCATTCTGCCAGGTTTAACTGGAAGACGTTTATAATGTGCTTTTCAGTTTCTTGTTACATTTATTAATTTACTGAATTCAGTTTCTTGTTACATTTATTAATTTAATGTAAAATGTAGCCGTATAGTGAAAAGAGCATTGGACATGAAATCAGTGTGTTAATAAGTTTTTTATGTGCGTTTCCTCATCATAACTATTATTTGAGTCATTTGTTAACCCTTTTTACTTTTGAGGCAGTGTATACTTAAAGAAGTTAAGTTGATCATTCACATCACTAAATAGGAGTTCTGGTAGCATAGTGGTTAGTAAGCAGTTCTAAATTACCAGCGACTCCACAGGAGAAAGATGAGGCTTTCTGCTCCCGTAAAGATTTACAGCCTCGGAAACACTATACAGGGCTGCTGTGAATTGGAACCGACTCCACAGCACACCACCGCCACCACCAATCTGTGATGGAGCTGAGATTGAACCCCGGTCATCCAACCTTAGAGCCCAGGGGGCGACCTGCTGTTGTAAACTACTATATCACCCTTTACCACAGCTGTTTATAAGAATAAAATGAGATAGTTGATTTTAGATGTCTTTTCCAAATTGTAATGTGCTATAAAATATATATAAGGCATTCAGAAGAGACATTACAGCTTTAATGGAGGCAATTCAAGTCATAATAATGACACCCTCTTTTTTTCTTTTTTTAAAAAAGAGTATTTTTAACCTTTCCACTAGGAAGGACACTTAATGCATTTTTAATTGTTCACCTTAATTTTTAACATTCCCATGACTTGAAGCATGGGGAAAAAAATCAGTCTCTGTTACCTAGGAATTAATATCTAGCATGATACATTGTAAAAGTGACATGCAGAGATATCTGATCTTCTGTAACTATATAAGGGGGCGTGGGGTGGGAGATAGATCCCAAGGCTGATTCCTGTAAGGCAGAAGTCAGACACACCTCCACTTTGAAACCTTTTAATCAGTTCTGACACCACTCTCTGTCCCACGGCACTCTCTGCTTCTCTCCTGGGTTCGAGAATTCATTGGAATAGTTAAACAGAACTCATTTGTTGGTAGGTGCCGTTGAGTTGTTTCCTACTCGGAACAACCTTAATGCACAACAGAACAGCACACTGCCCAGTTAGTTGTGTGCCATCCTCTTATAATCAGTGTTAAACTTGAGCCCTTTGCTGCTGCCACTGTGCCAGTCCATCTCATTGGGGATCTTCCTGTTTTTTGTTGACCCTCTCCTTTATTAGGCATAATGTCTTTCTTTAGGGACTGGTCCCTCCTGATAATGTGTCTGATGTATGAGAGACAAAATTTCATCATCCTGGATTCTAAGGAGCATTCTGGCTGTACTTTTTCCACCACAGATTTGTTTGTTCTTCTGGCAGTCCATGTACTTTTAATATTCTCCAATACCATAACTCAAATGCATCAATTCTTCTCTGATCTTCTACTGTCTTTCTTTATTCACCGTCCGACTTTCACATGCATGTGAAGCTATTGAAAATATACAGTACTCATAGACAGTACTTATGAATATGAGGTTTATCAGGGAAATAATAGGATCAGAAACAACTCTAGAAATAGTTCTTCTTAGCAATGCCCACAGGCATGCCTCTCTTTGGCCCTTAGCTTCTTAGTCCAGTAGCTTCTGTCCTGCTCAGCCAAGTGTTCAAAAGCTTTTTCCTCTGTCAACAAGTACCAGTAAGCCTTGACCTGAAGATGATTAGCTCTAGCTCCATGGGTCATCAAGTTTAGTTAGCGCCACCAAGTGCCCAGAGACATCCCACTCAGCCAGTAAGCTTGGCCTGAAGACACTCAGCTTTCTCACTCTGTGGGCTGCTATGTCTTGTGCCCTTTTGGTTCTTTGCTTCCATTTCTCTCTGCTTCTCTCTGCTTGTGGTGTCATAGTACTCTGTCTCCTGGTTTCCAGTAGGCTTTCAGCACAGGATCTGAGGCCCAGAGGATGCACTGCACTCTTGTCTCTTTCTCAGTGGCCATGAGATTCCTCCTTTTCTTGTGGAAAAGCTCATTTTAAGCCTGGTGGGATGGCAAAACTGATTAGTCTCCTTGAATAGGGATTCATACATCTTATTTCCATAGCCCCATTCAGTTATTTAGTGGGAGTGAAAAAGACTGTAGCTATAGAAAGGCCATATTTTCTGTATCACATATAACTTAGAGTAAATAAAAAGAAGTTGAGGCTTTAATCATAATTACTGCAGCTAGGTGGTTACTTTAATTCTTATTGCTAAGTGCTACCAAGTGAGTTTTGACACATAGTGACCTTGTATAGGGTTTCCAAGGAGTTGCCTAGTGGGTTTTAACTGCCAACCTTGTGGTTTTCAGTCCAGTACTTATACAGTGCCATAGCAGGACTCCAATTTAGTTCGAGTTACATTTAGAAGAATACCAAACAAAAGTAAAGAAATAAACCCACTGCCTTTGAGTGGATTCTGACAGAGTAGAACAATGCTGTAGATTCTTGAGACTAAATCTTTACAGGAGCAGTAACCTCATCTTGTTCCCCTGGAGTGGCTGATGGGTTTGAACTGCTAACCTTGTGGTTAACAGCCCAATGCTTAACCCACTACACCACCAGTACTCCAAAAGGATACTAGGAAAATTAGATGCTTGATGGGTATTTGGTGAAAACACTGAAATAAGTTTAATTAATGATGTTTGAAGTCTGTGTCATAAGTGAGCAAATTTTACTATTAAAATATTAATTTTGGTTTTGAGTGGTACTTTTCCAGACCATATCAATTTACATATAGCAATCTTCCATTTTCTGGAAGGTATGAAAACGTGATGAGGGGTTGTGAAATCACTTTTAAGAAATTATCAGTCAAAATTTTATCAACACAATTTTCCATGATAATGTAAGAAGTTGATAGTCTTCTACTTAAGTAATTTTCAGATTTTCTTTAGCAAGTCCCAAAATGTACTATTATTGGTAAAGACCAACACGGGAGCATGGCTCTTAATGCTAAAGTGCAATGCACATACTGCTTAAGAGCAGGTAAGTTAACACACGAGCAACTGTGAACTTGACTTTTAGGCATGACTTTTTTTAAATTGAATTTGAATTACTGGACTGAATTTGATTATGCTGGTTTCCCAATCACAATGCTTTTCGCTTCCCTGTAGACTGGATCAGTGTCAGAGATGGACCCATCACCATTTCTGATTCTTCTGATGAGGAAGGAATTCCAATGCTGGTCACCCCAGCTCCTCAACAACATGAAGAAGAAGAGGACTTGGATGATGTCATCCTGACAGAAGTGAGTTTGCTTAGACTTCTTATGGAGAGGCTTCATTGCAAGTTAGTGATCTGATTCTCAGACCATGCTGGGATGGGTGGGTATTGGGGTTTTGGAGAAGAGCTGTTCTCCATTTCTGAGGACAGTTCCTTTTTCACCCTGAGTGATGTCCACTTAGCTTGAGAATGTTTCATAGAAGCCATGTTTTGGCCTGTTTCTGTAGTGAACTTCTATACCGTTACTATTAACTATTCATGCACTAGTCAGACTCAATAGTATCTGTCAGATAGAACTTATCTCTCCTTATTACTCTACATTTATTTTTTCTGAATGAGCCAGGATATTCATGCATTTACACTTTATTTATTTATTTTAAGGTTTTATTGTGGATTGAGTGAAAGTTTACAGGGCAGATCATCACTTCTACATTCAACAAATCATATACCTTGTTTCATTACAATGATTATGATCCCTTCCATGTACCATCAGTTACCATTTTAGCTCTTTAAAAAAAAAAAAAAAAATTTAAAAAAAAAAAAAAAAAAAAAAGAACCACTCAGGCATAAATAATAATTTGCACCTTGAAAGGGCACATTCTGCAAGTATGCCTTCTGGCCCTCTATTCTCATGAATTTAGAGTCCGCAGCCACTCCCCGTCTCCATGTTCCCATCTCTGCCTCCGTCTCTGGCATCGCTGCTTCTTTAAATGATATCCTGCGTTCTGCTTGTGCTCTTCACTCTTGATGGTTTTTTGTTTTTTTTTTTAAATCTTCCTCTAATCAGTTCTGATTATTGAGCCACAGAGGCAAGGTTAAATGGGTACTGTCTGCAAGTTGGTGGGTGTTCTTGTGCATCTCTCCTCACTTCATATCAACTGGATGCTTCACTCTCAGCTCTAATCCTTTGTGGCTATGTCCTTGTCCATGGGCTCAGGTGTCCCCAGGTCTTGCCACACTTTTGTACCAACCAGCCCTTCCTCTTCTCTCTCTCATCTCCAGATCAGTGTGAGTCAGTGGACTGCAGTTGAGCTCAGCCCATTTCTTCATTGCTGCCATTCCCCCTTTCCACTCACCAGTAGACCAATGTGGGCACCAACAGGTTTACATGCCTGCTCATGTGTTCCATTTGAGTTTCAGTCTTAGAGGGGAGTTTGTCTTGAAGGAACTTGGTTGCTTGCCTTGATGGCTTCTTGGAGAACAACTTGCTTATTCTTGTAGTAGTCAGTCATGCTGACATTTTTGTTTTGGTTCTTTCTTGATAATCTTTCTTTGAAGATGTATCTTCTGTCACTCTAGCGGTTCCAGACTGGTCTACTTGTCCTTGCTATTGGGAATGTCCCACCTCAGACGGTTCTGGATGGGACTCAGGATTCCATGTAGGTCCTATATTCTGCAAAAATTCCACAAGAGGCCTTTTTCATTGGACAAGTTCTAGAACCCCTTTTAGGTATTCTAATCAGTTACAGGCTGCAAATGGGCTTACAAGTTTTATGTAATCATGTTTTCTGACATTTTGTTCTATTCCACTCAAGTGTCTGTTTTATGATAGTAGGCAAGGGAAACCAATATTCATAAGACAGTCAAGCATCTTAGTATTATTTCCCCTCTTCAAACTTTGCCTACATTCCTGTATCACAAAGCCCTATTGTTCCAAGATTGAGCATGCATCACTATTTACCTCTGCCCCACTTAGGCCATGCAAACCTGTCTCAGTGTTCCGCTATGTTGTTCTTCCACCTCCTCCCCCTTCTTATATTGCCCTCCCCAACACCTAAACTAAACCCCACCCCAACCCCATCATTGTGGTTCCCTTATATTCCATTAACTCTTCCCTCCATTTAAGACAGTCTATTTTATCCTGTAATCTACCTGACCTTCCCACCACCTGGATCTCTGTTCCTCTGTGTTTACCTTCTTTCACATTATAATTGTTGTGATCATAGACTGACCTCCCAGATCCTCTGTTCTTAATATTTTATTCTGTTCTTGACTCTTCCATTTGTCGATTGAGTTCAGGGTGATGCTGCCAAGTACGTCAATATCTGGACGTTGTCTATTGGTTCTCAGTCCACAGAACTCCCTTTAGGATGTTTTTCATTGCAGGATTGGCTTTGGCAAAGTCCCTTAGCTTCTGTTTATCCTGGAATGGGTTTTTTTTGTTTGTTTGTTTTTTTAATTTAAGGTTTTTATTGTGGTTGAGTGAAAGTTTACATCAGTTTCACATTCAACCATTCATATAACTTGTTTCATTACATTGATTATAATCCCCTCCATATACCATCAGTTAAAAGCATTTCTATTTCTTTTTATCCACTTTAGCTTTTTTTAAAAAAGACAACAAACAAAAAAACCCACTCAGGTATATATAATAAGTTACATCTCCAAAGGGCACATTCTGCAAGTCTGCTTCTGGCCACCAGCTCTTAATCCTTCTCTTCTTAGTTGATGAATCTAGAGTCCTCAGCCGCTCCCCCTCTCCATGCCCCCATCTCTGGCGCTGCTGCTTCTCTGGATAAGGTCCCGCATTCTATTTGTACGTTTCTCTCTTGATGATCCTAGAGTGCTCTGTTTCTGGGCTGTAAGATTAACCACTCCCTTTTTTTTTGTTACAAAACTTCTACCTTTACAATTGTGACAGTCATGATTAGTCATGATAGCAGTTATTCACTATTGAATCTTACGAATCTTATCCTCATCTCCTTTCACCAGACCCATCTAGACAAGATGATTACTATTCAGTGGGTACTCTTTCCCCCCACACTCTTAACTAAGCTCCCTCTTGAAACCTTGTAAGCCAGTCACTTTGTGCCTTTATTGCCCCCTCATTTTAGATAGCCAATGTCTAAGTTGCCCGTCCCTATCTACCCTGTGCACAGAGTGGATAGCATTGAAACTTGATTTGAAGACTCTTTTCCTCTCTGTTGGTATTT